GTCATATGACATAAGCTTTTGATAACAATTTCAGCTTCAGAAACGGTAAACCGACCGTGTTCTTATATCCTCATGTGTTGAGTTGCACCTTCACCTGTTGACGCCGTCTTCTTTTGAACGTATGCCCTGGTAACAAGTTTCAATATAAACGTTTTCAAGAAAACGGCCAAGGTCACTGTAATTAGTATCTGCAACCCTTATCATCGCCCTAGTAGCTGTACTCTTACATGTGTCCGTGAAATAAGCTCAAATATGTGGGCATCATAAGTCTAAGGTCAAGGTCTTAAAACAGAACTTCACAGTTATGTTTGCCGTTTGAAAGCCATGTACGGGTTCGAATCTGGCATTGTCAGTCAAAGGTCAAGGTCACTGTTAATAAACAGAATTCTAACAGCACACTCATTATTATCATTCTAGTGGCAGTATTTCTTGTGACCTTAGATGTAACAAAATAAAACCAAACCAATCATGATTTAATGTTGACGACAGTCAAAGGACAATGTTGCTATTACTAATAATAGAATTACATCGTCACAACATTTATAGTCACTATCGACTATATTTCTCTAAACATTTTCATGAAACTTCACAATGATGTTTGCCCTGATGAGCTTCATAGGTCATAGGTCAAGGTCCCAGTAACCAAAAAGTGTCATGTCCCAATCGCCATGCAGTTGAATCTAAAACGAACGACATTAACTGTATATCTGAAAAACCACAATACTGTGGGAAAGGGGTCCTTCAATACTTTTCTCTATAAATCATTACATCATACAGATAATTTGGCGTCATATTGCATCCAGCACACGACATACGAGTATGTAACACACACACACACACACACACACACACACACACACACCGCCCCATTTGATAAAAAAAATCCGTTTCAATTAACACTTGAATGGTATGATTATATTATGAGACACAAATGTATTCGTAACATTACAACGTGTACATCAGATCAGCTGGCGCCATGACTGAGTATGTTGCGCCATGACTGAGTATGTTGCGCTATGACTGAGTATGTTGCGCCATGACTGAGTATGTTGCGCTATGACTGAGTATGTTGCGTCATGACTGAGTATGTTGCGCCATGACTGAGTATGTTGGGGACATGTTATACCTATTGCTTTATTTGTGTTGATATGGATAATACTGACAGGTGTAAAAAGTGTCGCCGCAGGTGAAAATGTCCAGCTCATAGCGACTGACCAGCAGCCTGTCATTACTTTACCAATGCAGCGCAAACTTTTTATTTATGTATTTATTTATTTTTTACTTTAAAATGCAATATATTATGTCACTAAAGTTTCATATGTGTTAATCGGAATAAACTGAAATATAAGAATTACGAAAACTTGGTATGAATTATAAAAGACTTTCGAAAATCCAGATTTGAATATTTTAGTTATAAACTCGGAAAGCTAACCAATTTTCACCAACTGAGGCGAGACGTCAAGAATCATTGTGTATGTTTATTGTTAGCAGAGTGGTGGTCGTTTGTGTGGCGGGTTATCTAATATATACCCCACTGAGCTCGGACAACGGTCACGTCCAGACCTTGGAAATCTATTGTGGTCAGTTTATTCGGGGTTCTATCGGTGAATATATCGCTCCAATGACCACACAAGTGTCTTACATGACCCCATTCGGTCACCTCAAGTCTGGGGATTACATTTTTCTAAAACCTCAAACCAGTCCTATTTTAAATCACAGGTGCCTGATAATTTGTTACAGTTAAGCAATTTTTGGACCTAAGTTGTTGTGTTCAGGGTAATATTAGACGTTTTCAGGGGTTTAGATAAATTTTCGGTTCAAATAATTGTATGCTGAGGGTGGCATTTTTTCATATCATTTCACTATTTTCCATTTTCTTCGGTACTTGTTATACTGATATCATCGTAATGTTTGATACTAGTACGTAAAATAATTACTTTGAGATTGAATGTATAGTGTGCGTCATTCTGTGCATTAAACTAATTAGTCCGGGTTTTCTATCGGAGATGCTTTGATCTACGCTAATGAAGATTAATTGCCGTGGTACATCTACGATACTTCAGTGTCTCACACGATTGGACATCTTGTCCGTGTGTCTTAAACCGTTGGTGATAACAATTCGTTCTTGGATTTTACTACAGACAACATGTCGGTACCTAGATAGGGCTCAGGTTTTTTTTCATGGTTCATGTTTTTAGCTTACCATTAATTTTATCAGATAGTAGCCCCTTTCCTCTGTGTCTGGCGTCCATTTTCAAATATTTGTATTGTGTCTATTTCTCAATTAATACAAAAAGAATCATGATAGTACTTGTTGTTCATGATCCTCTTGGCCAACAGATGTTCGCGCTCCATCTTGATACGGATAAGAAAAGCAAAATGGCCGCCATGCAGCCATCTTGGATTTCTCATGTTAGTTCTCATTATTTCTCTCCTCATCAAACATGGTATGCGTCATACCCTTAGTTCCTATTTTGACCAGCTTTCTAATTGGCCGGCCGGTTCGGAAAAAAGTAATTAATCAGGTCTAGGAGTAAAATCATTTCCTCATGTGTTCCGTATTGCTTGCACAGTAGGACTCCACAGAAAGTATTTGCGTTGAACTACAATCCCGACCAAAATTCTTCATTACTCGAGCAGTAACGAGGAAGAAAACTGATCTTTTCTATATTCAATTATAATGTCTCTATCAGAACCGTGGACGCTAATTTTGTTACAGTTATTTTACTAAAATAAACATTGATCGATGGTTGACATGGTGATGGTATAGGTAATAGTTGAAATATACATTGATCGATGGTTGACATGGTGATGGTATTGGTAATAGTTGAAATAAACATTGATCGGTGGTTGACATGGTGATGGTATAGGTAATAGTTGAAATCGCCAGTCTGAAACATTAATCAAATAACTAACTTTTCATTTAATTAAAAAATATCCAGTCAAGAAATATTTATATTTGTGACACATATAAATAATTTGTAAAATCGTGGACTTAGATCCAGTCAGACTTCATGGTGAAATGATGAATATATGCAACACATATCTTGTTCAAATTCTGGACGAGGTAGTCCCTTTAGCAGCCCCGGTCCTACCCCAACAGTGTTAGAGGTTCACACGACGAGATACATTTGACAGGCGCCGCGTCGCAGTCGACAAAACCATAACCATATCCGATAGAAAAAAAGGCCGACCAACGACCTCTTATGTTATAGGAGTACAGGTGTACCCCGGTCCCTGCGAGGGACAGCGCAGGGGTCTGGCTAACGCCACTCAACTGGCCATCACCACGGCTACAAATGATGGATGTGTATATACTTTCGTAACCTTTGTTGTCACACCATGATCACTTTAAAGGGACAAGAAAGCAAACAGTTTGAACAATGATGTGTGTTGTTTGTGAATCAAATATGATTACACAAGGTGATTATTCATATGTTAATACCTGTCCTGATTCTGTTTGCCTTCACGCTTGCTGTTTGCGTTTTCGTTCTATTTCAAAATACAAGTAAACATGTTGCTTCCATTGTGTAAGAGAATTACGGGTCAGACACTGGGACAATGTAGACCCGGTTAAATAAAAATAGAGCACGCAGAAACAGCTTAACCAGACATTCATCAGGTGTATTTTAAATACGACTCTCTTTCGTTAGATTGGAAGAAGAGTACTTGTAAAAACCATACAACGTCTGTAGTCATTATCTATGTTTAGGTTGCTCGTTCATGCATCTACTGATAGGTGGCTGTGCTGAAAACCTATTTAGTGAACAACATAAGAGAATGTGATTTTTTCGCGTTCTAATGTATACACATTAAAAATCCATACGATGAAGTGCTTGTCGGCTTACATGTACATAGTTCGATCTCAATTATGTAGCTTTCACAGTCCTTCCCACAAGGAACAGACAATTAACACGCAGTATACAAGTTTGTTGGGAATCGCTTCACATTTTATAATGATAATTGGTTACCATGAACTAAGTAATTGATGATATTTATAATCGTTTGAAAGAAATGCATTGTGAAATCCTCCAAGCCGTTGTCGCCAGTACCGTATACGACCCCCTCCCCACACACACAAACGAAACCATATATAAGAATGGCCGCCCCTCAAACTCCGTATATGTAATTTTTAGTCCTACGCGGCCATGTCCCTACTTTTCATGTTTGCATTTTAGGCTCTTTGCACAGACATCATGTACATACCACCCTTTATTTATTCATGTATGTGCACATTGAGATGACTATATACTTCTAAATGTATAATGGTGATTCTAAGCCTTTTTTGCTTAACAATTATAACTATACATGTAATACTAGTATCCATATGTTTTAAAACGCTTTTAGGGTAATTTTACAAATTATAAAGGGCGCTATATATAAATGTTGTATATTATTATTGTTATCATTATCTTTATCATTATTGCTATGATCCGACTTTAAAGCAAATGTAAATCAGGGATGATGCGAAAATAGGAGCTTCAATTGAATGCTAGGCGACTTCTTTTGCCTAACTCTAGTATATAGCGTGGAGATACACCTGAAATCCTGAACCACTATACTTAAAATTTCGCAATAGCTACACACAATTATTCAGACTTAATCGGCTATTTTAATCATGAATTCTGTAAAGGGGACGTGGTTGTACTGTGTGAAGAAAAAAAGTTTCACCGTCATCGTGCAAAAATAGCTACATTAAAGGCTGCGAAAGATCTTTCCTTTGTGAAGTTTACTTGTCCAGAATTGATAAACTGATGACAAATACGAAAGCAACTCAATGAAGCAACTCTATATAACAAACAGGGTAACATTGGGGTAGTTCCGAAGTATTTCATACTGGATGAAGGGAGATAACTCTAACCATTTCACATATATGTAAGGTAGCATACAGCCTTAACAGTACTATCAAATGATTCAGGTAATATAATATGTCCTCTTTCTAAACAGCATCAACGGCAATTGAAATTAATTTTGTTTTTCTGTTTTTGTTTTTTTTACAGAGAAAGGCTGCAATATAATGAAGGCCAAACATTGCTTCCTTGAGATGGCAGGTGCGACCGTCAAAATCCTGGGAGGAGGCATGTCCCGAGAGGAACAGAAAATGACCTGCTGGTAAGCAATATTTATGGAGATGTTGTTGATCTTTATATACAGATATAGTATAAGTCAACTTAGTGACAATATCATGCATTTATACTAACGTATGCATGTAACTTTATAGTATAGTAATATACGGTTCTTTTTCGTGATAAATAGGCCGATTTATTAAAAGTATATATATATTTTTTTTATCAATTCCATAATATTATTTATTTTTGGAACCATGATCGTTTATTTATGCTCATTCAATATATAGGCAGGTACATGAATATCGGGACTGCGTTGAAGACAGTATGTCCGGCTGCCCAATGTCGGACGGGAACTGGCGCGGTATGCAGGCCCTAGAGCCATACGTACCCCTCCTTTCCAGTGTAGCCAACACCGTCTGTATGGAAGGTATGCATTCATAAGTTCCTTTTTTATTTCAGTATTTATTGTAAACTAAATAAATAATATATAGGTAATATGACTTTGGATTTGAAATAATTAAGTTAGATAATCTGTTTAATGCTTAAGCAGAATTTTGTTACAAATGGTTTTCTACACCTTTGACCATTATACATATATGCAATTTTGCATGTATCAACTCAGAATCATTACTCCGTAATAACTGTCTGCTTTTATTTCATATTTTTTTCTTGATAGAGGAGATAGTTATTTAAGACTTATTTTTAATTAAGTAATTATAACTGGAAACAGCTTATGCATAATATTATGAAATATATTAAATATAAAGAAATATGTGAGGGAAAATAGGCTCCACTAAGATATTTTTCAATTATTTAAACTACGTGCAAGGATCTTTAAGTTAAATTGTGACGAGTACCCTCCCTTGTTTCACCTCCGAATCTTTTCGCGGGAAAACAAAATCAAAACAAACACCAGCTGATCGAAATGGAATTTTGTTTTAGATGGAGAGCGGAAAGAAATGGACGACTGTCCCATGGAAACTGCAGGCCATTGTCTCATGGGGTTCTTTTACGTAGCAGCAGAAGCCTACTCACCTGCGACATGCTGGTATGATTGTAAACATTTTGAAACAAATGAAATATGACCAACGTCACGCTACCACAGTTGGACACTACCCCAGTTGGTACACGGCCAGAAAATGGTTCGAATAGTACTTTAAAATTAAATTTAAGCATTTTCCTTTGACAGTATAACTAAATAGATATTTATCAGCATTTCCACCGAATAGTTTTGTTTTCAGGAACATTCTAAGAGTACTCGATGACTTCAAAGTAAACATGTCAGAAAACCAGTAAAAATGACGTACATCGACGATATTTTGGAGGATTTTGAAGGTGTTAAATTTAAGCATGTTTAAATGTTGATTTCTGGTCCTTATAACTGGATATTATAAAAGTGTATATAAACAAATGTAGTTCAGTATGGTATTTATAAAAGCAATAAATTTTGTTGCAGTCGGCACATCAACTTGTAAAATTAAAAACAAGTTTCATAGCCTGTGATAATAATGGTGTAGCAATTTGGGTACTAATCAAGGCCGGAAAACGGAAGGAATCTCACTGCGAGTTTAGCGTTCTATTTTCAAAATCATATGATTTAGAATTAAAACTTTTTCTGAAAATGAACCAACATATATATATGTAGTCTTTGTCAAAAATCAAGAAACATTCCAGATACAAGATCTGAATTTTTAAATATCACTGAAGTATCAAAATTGCACCAATTGTGGTAGCGTGACGTTAGCCCATTTGTCCTCCACAGGTACTAGCCTCGTCTGTCAATTCATCCATAATATGATCTTGATTATATTATGGCTGTATTGACAGACGAGGCTTAAGTACCTGTGTTTCCTCTGTCCCTGACACCAGACTCGCTTGGACACCAGACATCTATCTTTCAAAATGTATGGTGTCAGGGTCAGAAGGAACTCGGGGCTATAGCCTATATATAACGTTACATGATTTCATAAACCAGTCTATATCCAGTTAAACATATGGACATTTCGAGACATACAATGTTACAGAGGTCATTATTGTTTTAATCAATTCCTTTGGTAGGGATCAATTCGAATCCAGGACATTCGGTTTACTTAAGTCTGACACTGATGAGTTAAAGAGACAGTCTTACTAGCTGTAAGTCATTATGACACCAAGAGTTATTAACCATGGTGATAATTCAGGGGTTGTAAACTTCACACGTTGAATAAATGGATCAGGAAGTAATTTAGTGGAACAGAGGCCTTGGACCATTAATTGCTGATGACCAGGTTAGTTCTGCAGCTAGTAGGGAAACATCCGTCTTAGCTTTGGAGGTCCCAGGTTCAATTCCAAATCTAGCCATTTCTATATGACTGTTTGTTTCAATTGTTTCCAGGCAGTCCCTCCACTCCAGTGGTTGTTTGGAGTCCGTACTTAAGGAATGCAAGAATCCTTACGTCCAGCGTATGAAGTCGATCATCACCAATCAAATCCGCTTGACTTCCTCCCTTACATGTGTGATGTCAGGTTGTCATCCAGATGCCGCCTTTGAATGTCTCATGTCAGCCAAATATGCTGCTGAGTCCCCCCTAGCTACCATGTACAGGTCTCCAATCCTGTGTGGGTAGGTCGTGCATAGACATCTTAACAATTTTATATGAAGTTTGGAATGCCTGGTATATTTATGGTATTGCATGATCCTGTAATGGGACCGATCCATCATGTACCTCCTACAATAAATTAAGCTTCTGTTATATATATACATGTATCTGAAAACAATTGTTTGGAAAAAAGCAAGCTAATGCTCGGCCAATAGCAGTGTTCTTCCCACCGCCCACCACAGTTTTCATGTATCTATTTAATTTCACAAGATAACTAGTAAAAATGGTTTATAATGAATTTCACAAAAAAAAAAAATCATTTTGAATGCTCACTAAAAGTGCTTATTTTAACGGGCTGAACATTTTGTGTATTATCAAATTTTGACAGATTAGCGCATTGATAAATTGGCGCATTCACAAAACATGATACAGAATAGTTTACAGAATCTTTAAATTTTCAAAATGCAAAAAGCACTAAAATTAGAATACCCCTAAAATGTGTACATTTCCAGTATGTTATAATAGTGATTCTGTATAGTATACATGTGTTTAAGAGGCGCAGATTATGAAGTTTATTTATATTTCAGACGTTTGACGAACGCCATTACCTGTATAATAAACAACACTATTGGGTGTCCTGCGGATCAGTACAACGAGCTTGCCATGGGAATTCTTCACCTCGACAAAGCTTCCAAAGTCGTCTGCCCGGCGGATTCCTTCTCTGCCGTTCCTGAAAATGTTATCACTCAGAACCTGGCAGCATTCATGGCCATCTCAGAAACCCCTTTCACCACACCCGAAACTGTGTGTCCGTAAGTCTGCAGACTTGTGGTTAAATCTAGAAATTTATTTACTGAGGCAAAGTCTAGTCTAGTGGTAGGATGCTGGGCTCGTGACCGAAGGGTTGCAAGTTTCGAGTCATGTAATGACACTGTGTTGTATCTTTGAACAAGATACTTTATTCCGCTTGTTCCCGTCGACTCAGCTGTAAATAAGTATGTGGTTGGGCAGTGCTGGTATTGTTGAATGCTAGCTGTGAGGGCCGAAATGGCAGCACTGGCCATATACTCCCCAGGGAGTTGAGAAAGATATTGGCTGGTTGCAAATGCCCAATAAACATGGATAATAATTTAAGAACCGCTTTTATATGACCTACAACCTAGGTTGTGATAAAGTAGTATATAAGAACCTCAATTTATTCTGACCTACTTACGATCTAGGTTGCGATAAAATGGTATATAAGAACCTCAAATCATTAGCCTAGTATTGTTGATTATTATTTAACTAATTTGTTCATGGTAGTGTTAAGTAATACCTGCAGCCTGAGAATCATTGTTGAAAGTAATTGTGCATCTTGATGATGGTATATAGTTTTTAAAATCAAAATTAATCACTCTTGTGTGCCCTGAAGTAAGCACGCAGGGGCTCTTAATGTAGGAGGACAAAACCCATGTGATCGTGAATTGAATATACCGACTACCTAGGCAAGCCATTGAAAGTTACTATCTAGCCATTTCCTCATCAATACACTGCATTAATTGTTGTTCATAGTCCCAGCAACTACACAATGTAAATGGAAGGTTAAACTTTGTATTCAAGGTTTTTAATTTTCTATTCCAGTTACTTTAAATATGCCGAAGATTCACTGATGAAGGTTTCGTTAGAGGATTTCTCCTTGGATAATGTTATGAAAACAAAAATGGTAACTAACAACATCGTTGGAGACTATTGTAAAATGGATAAGGAGATGGATGATTGTGAAATGTGGCAAACGGCCAAACCAATGTGTGATGTCGCCCAGGCTGAGATGTGTACCAACATGGCAGAACTACCCTTCCTTTTAGCCGAGGTTGAGATTCTCGGCAAAGAAACTGTGTGCCAGTAAGTTACTTTGATAGATATTTTAGCTGAGTTGTGAAAGTATAGCAGGAAGGTAGAGAAATACAGGAAAGTCAAGTTTTAAAACCTACTGGATATTGTTAAAAAAACCTCAAATACATTGGTATTACTTCATCCTTTCTCTCTTAACATTTATAACTGTTGAAATTACAAAATGTACAGACTTGAACCTTAGGCCAAAAAACAAAACAAAATGGTGTTTCCGCTAACATCCTCAGAAAAACTAAGAGAAGGCAGGAAGGCGATTTTTTTTTTATTATACTTATATAGAGCAGGAGTTCTGGCTTTAACAGTGCATATGACTAGGTGCCAATGAAAACTTTAGGGTAGGCACAAGTATCTAGGGTGGGTAGTGTTAAACACAAGATTTTTTTCATTTGGCCCCATCAGAGGTTAATACTGTTGAAATCCAATTTTAGTACAATTGATTACAGACTTTCGTGAAATCCTAAATTTTCAAACGTCGTCCAAGTCCACAGTTTTTAGGTTGCCTTACAAGCTCACCATGGTCCTTCAAACCAGGTGAGCTTTTGCCTACCGAAGCGTCCGTTGTCAACTTTTTCTTTGTGGGTGCAGAGGGGTGAGGCGGAATAGGGGAAATAGAGGTAAATCTTTAAAATCCTTCTTCGACTGTAGGGATAAAGGGATTTTATCCAAATTTGGTCAGGAGCATCCTTGGGAACTCAATTTTGTTTAAGCTGTTGGTGTGGCCCCTTTGGGTGCAGAGGCGCAGAGATCTAAAGGAGAATTGGAGGTTTAAATCTTCTAAATCCTTCTTCCTCTGTAACATTGGCAAGATTATATCAAAATTTGGCCTGGAGTATCCTTTGACAAAGGGAAATAACTTTTGTTTAAACTGTTGGTGTGGGCCCTTTGGGTGCAGAGTTGCAAGGTCCAATAGGGAAATTTAAGGTTTAAATCTTTAAAATCCTTCTTCTGTGCAATTGGAGGGATTTATCCAAATTTGGTCTGGATCATCCTTGGGCAAAGGGGACTAAAACATTTTATAAACGAAGGGTGTGGCCCCTCTGGATGCAGAGTTGTCAGGCCCAAAAGAGGAAATTGAGGTTTGAATCTTTAAAATCCTTCTTCTTCAGTACCATTGGAGAGGGTTTTGTAATAAGAATAATTTCCCATGGTTGCTTTATTATCCAGGTAAGCGATAAGGCCCTCTGGGCCTCTTGTTTTGTCATCCCTTACATGTGAAGTTAGAACATTGATCACTCTACCTATAATGCATTATGGAGCATACACAGATATATCCTTTCTTTAAGAAACTTCTGCCTAAATTTGTTCATAAAAAACTTATGATATGATACGATATGTCAATGTATTTTCTATATATAAAGAAATTATTTTTTGGTTTTTTTTCTGTAAAAAAATCCATGCGTTCTATTCTATTGTCAGTGTCTTTTTTTTCAATAAATTATTCCTATGCATATTCATTATTTATATAAAGAATTCACGCCTGCATATTTTCCACAAGAAATTTTCTATGTATGGAAACCTATGCCAATATGCCTACATTTTGGTCTTTTTTTATTTATTTTTTATTCCTATGCATATTCTGACAAAAAACTTGTGTCTTAAATATATGGTATATATAACATCACTGAACATAGGTATATCACATGAATTGGAAAATTCTGTAGCCTTTTCCCCTGTTCCCACCTGACCTTTCAAACGCATTCAAAATTATGACATTAAATGAAAACCAGAGTGTACATGAATTATCTCCCTTTCATCAGAATCTGATGGTTTTGCCTCTATAACATTGTGTCTGTGATTTCCAGGGAAGTCCGTAAGCTGGCTAAGTGTGTAAACAGCAAGATATCCGGCTGCAGGATGGACCAACTTCCGGGAGTTAACTTCGCCTTCTGGTATATCCTTGGAGAGGTTGCAGATTATTGTCCGATACAGGAGCTGCTTTCGTCATCATCCTGTAAACAAGAAAAATGTCAGACAATGGAAGCTTTCTACAAGTGCTTCCCAATGGTCACACAGGACGATTTTAGTAGCGGCAGATCCTGCATGTAAGATCTTAAGTACACATTTCTTCTTCTCTTTTTAACTTATTCACCCCTACATGTTTAAACTGGACTTGCCCAGTCTTTGATTTGGTAAGGTTCAAATGTGACTTTAGGGATGAATGGGTTAATATACTGTTATATTCTGGGACGTGTTAAACATACAATTCTTCCACATCAAACAAGACAATTTTCTGTAAGAAAATGAGAGATTATACAATTGAAAACAGACATGAAGAGAAAAAGAATTTCAGATACATGTAAATGAGAAATCACATATTGAATTTTGATATAGAAATGTGAAAAAGTAAGGGCTGTTTCATAATTAGTGGTATGGGATATGTGGGGTACCTTTACAAATTTGTTATAAATGGAGTTGTTAACTCTATGTCTGCTTACATTTTCTAATCTTAAATCAGGTTCAATATTCGACGGATGGTTTGGCCTCTGAAAAGTGCCTCCCGCTCTTATACGTAGAGGTGCCCCAACAAGTGGTCGTTGGTTATCATGTTTATCCAACGCGAGGTAGTTAATTTTCCAAATGTAAAAGACACTGGGTGAACCTTGTGCCTTTACACAATTGAAAAATTAACTTACTCGAGTTAGACAAACATGGTAACCAACCATCACTCGTTGGGGAACCTCTGTATACCTCCATGTGGTTGTGGGAGAAATTTAATTCTGAAACAACCCTAAACTGATCATAATGATTAATTGATATTAATATTTCTTAAAACTTAGTATCAACCAAATCAAATATTTCAAATTCCCACTGCAAAAAGGATTTCACTTTCTGAAGGATTTAGAGCACTATAAAATGTTTTCTTCAATTTAAAAGAAATTGTTAAAATTTGATCCAGGAAGAAGACTTGGATTCATGAAATTTACACTGAGCAGCTGAATGACTAGAAATTAACATTTTTTTGTTTCATTGTAATAAAAACAGAAACAAAGATTTTTACATTTTTCAAAAGAAAAGGTTCAAATGAAATCGGAGAAGAAAACTTGGATTCATGAAATTTACGTTGAGCAGCTAAATAACTGGAAATTAACATTTTTCGGTTCATTATTATCAAATCAGAAACAAGAGATTATTACAAATTTCAATATGAAATCAGAGAAGAAAATTTGGATTTATGAAATTTTCATTGAGCAACTGAATAACTAAGAAATTAACAACCTTGTTTCCTTATTATAAAATTAGAAACAAAACTTATTTCAAACTGTTATTTGAACTGATGTTTTTTCCATAATTTTGCTTGTAATGCTGACAACTATTTGACAGGATGATGAAGGAAACCCTTGAGTGTGTGAAGATGTACACCAGTGGCTGTGTCATGTCCCTCGGCATGGTCCCCATCGCCTACACTGTACGCCATTACCTTTCCCAGTTCACACCTTATTGCATGGTACCACACTTCGATGATATGCACGACTCCGTCACCGACCCGAGGCACATTGAGGGCGGCATGATGATGCTTCAGGCCCTTCAGTATGCTCTAACGAATGGCAGTGATATTGTACGCGACATGTGTCACGTCCTTTACACCGCCGGTGAAACAAAAGAGGAAATTAAGCCCCACCCCATGATAGCTTTCGCGATTAAGAAGATGATGGGATATGGAACAGAACTGTTTGAGTACTTGTGTACAAGGTATCCAGGTAAGTACTTGTCAAGATGAGGACAATTATTTAGCATAGTATGAATATAAAATTTATTTATTGAATTATTTCACAACTATTATGAAACAAATTGTTACAAACAAGAGTACCCTGAGAAACCTATGTGGTTTGGTAAGTGACCCCGGCCCCATACCTGTTTATATCTTGGTGAAAGGCGAGTGTGTAATCCACTGTGCCACATGACCACTCATAGTGTCTAGTCACTTTGATATTCTAAAAAGTCAGCAATAAGCGTTAAATAATACAATAAACGGCTAGGAAAAAAATTCCCCTTTAAGAAAACTAGAGAATACCCAAGTGTTAACAACAAAGTAGTATAAACCCAAAGGACTAGGGGCGTTAAGAGTCATTTCCGGCCTCATTGGGGATTTAGAATAAGTTGGTATATTCGTTGTCGAGAATATATGACCTAAGCAAACATGAAGTTTCAAATTCATTTGGCAACTGGTTTAGGAGATATGGCATCACAAAGAGAATCAAAAACACATATTTTCATAATATGTTCGTTGTCATACCAGTGTTCATTGTCATACCAGTGTTCATTCTCATACCAGTGTTCCTTGTCATACCAGTGTTCGTTGTCATACCAGTGTTCATTGTTATACCAGTGTTCATTATCATACCAGTCTTCGTTGTCATACCAGTGTTTATTGTCATCCCAGTGTTTATTGTCATACCAGAGTTTATTATCATACCAGTGTTTATGGTCATACCAGTGTTTATTGTCAAACCAGTGTTTATTGTCATACAAGTGTTTATTGTCATACCAGAGTTTATTATCATACCAGTGTTTATGGTCATACCAGTGTTCATTGTTATACCAGTGTTCACTGTCATACCAGTGTTCGTTATCATACCAGTGTTCATTGTTATACCAGTGTTCACTGTCATACCAGTGTTCGTTGTCATTCCAGTGTTCATTCTCATACTAGTGTTCATTGTCATACCAGTGTTAGTTGTCATACCAGTGTTCGTTGTAATACCAGTGTTCATTGTCATATCAGTGTTCATTGTCATACCGGTGTTCGTTGTCATACCAGCGTTCATTGTCATACCAGTGTTTGTTGTCATACCAGTGTTCATTTTCATACCAGTGTTCATTGTTATACCAGTGTTCATTGTCATTCCAGTGTTCATTCTCATACCGGTGTTCCTTGTCATACCAGTGTTCGTGGTCATGCCAGTGTTCATTGTCATACCAGTGTTCATTCGTAGAAAGGAATTGTTGTTTGTCGTATGCGGAGGATTTCATTTCTGCATGCTAACTGTCCAAAAACACCATATTTTGGCTATTTCTGCATAGCAACGCATTTTTGTTGCTTTGGTAGTATAGGGCATCTACGCATGCACGTTGGACAAAATCTGCACCAAGAAAGATAGCCCCAATTAACCAATATGATGTTTATAATATAAAATGGTAAACAAATTCAAGTTGAGATTTTCATGTTTTATGAGGCCAAAAATGACCCATAACGCCCCCAAGTCCTTTGATGGAACGATGGTAACATTTGAACACAGGAAAGCCTTGCATGGAGACCCTTGCAAAGGATATCTTGATAATAGATTTTAATGTACACTATATCTTTTTTTTTGTTATAAATAATGTTCCTTTAAAAGTCTTGACGTACTGATCCCACATGGTGTATGCAAAATAAGACCTCTGGTCCACAGAGCTCCATATGGCCTCAACGAAACAATGTTCAATATTGCCTGATATTCATGCTAAAATATATGTAAATCAAGTACCGATAATGCTTGACATTCACGCCAAAAAAAATATGGATGATGCCTAAACCTATTTGTTTGTCTCTTTGCAGAGGATTCATTAAAGACAATGTCTACTGAAAATATGACTGCAGCCCAGACGGGTAGGTACCTTCACACTTCTTTTTATATGATTGAAAAAATGGTGGAGAACACGAATTAAGTAAAAGATCTGTTTATGAGTTGTCTTATCAAAGATGAAAATATCCAGTATTTATACATACAAAAATTCAGTCCCAGCTCTTAAATCTGGCTGCACATCAGTGTAATTTATCCGAAATATGAGCTATTTGCTGTATCAAATTTTTAGATGAAAGGTGTTTTCATTGACTTATGCGGTAGGCGATGATAATTTCATCTTCTAGAAACATCAAATGTTACAGGAATAAATGTATCTGTTGTTTAATTGTGATTTTTTCTCCCTGTTTAGCCAATCAACCAGGCTGTGAGGCGGAGAAGGCTGCCTACTGTTTCGCAATGCACACCACTTCTATGATGGTATACCAGTTCATGTCTCTAGACGACAGACATACCTTGTGCAGGTAAAGCTATTTTCTGCCAATATTGGATGTGCAAAATATTATATGAAATAAAATCCGTTTTTTGTCTCGCCCCCATGAAGTAGCGGAAGCGGGACTAAGGTGTTGCTTTTCCGGCTGCGGTGTCAGCATTAAGTTTTTACGTTTAAGTAAGTTTCTCTGAAATTATAAGTGCTAGATCAACCAAACTTGACATGTGCATTGATGGTCAAAGCGGGGCACCAGCGAGACATATCAATCAGAATGGCTTGTCTTTTAATTTTACTTAAAAAAGAAAGTAAAAATATATTTTACATAAAATACATTTGTTATAACAATAAAGTTGTGCTTGAAAAGAGATGGATTTGAGTCCATAAAAAAGTGTTTCTTGGAAGTTTTTTTAATTTAACTTTTCTTTGAGAATCATACGTTATTAAATGCAGTGTATTAATTACGACAACAGCTATAAAAGTGCACCTCAAAAGAAATATGACGATGTTATTTAGAAAAAATGGTGCTTGGTGTATGGTCTGTGATGCATTTAATATCAAACACAATATTTGATTATTAGAAATAAAAAAAGATTGACCATAATTTACCATTTCTGAGTCGGCCCACATTATTAAGAGATCTCTCTGATTGGGCTCGTATCAAGAAATAGTTGTTTGTTACATTTCGTAGGGTCACCAAGGGATATTTTATTCCTGTAGCAACCTTATGTTTGATGTTGGAGCTAGTGAAACATTCAATACTTGTATTTAGTATGAAAATATAGGTTGGTCAAGCAGAAGTTTTCAAAATCTACTGGAGGGTTGGTATTCTATAAGAAATGGTGCACTCCTGCAGATCATTTTAGTGATAATAAACTCTTTTTACCTCTTTAACACAAAGCCTTTTAGATTTTCCATGAGAAAAAGGTGAAAGGTGATGGTTAATGCAAAAAAAGTCTTTCTTAAATATAGGAGTCGGGGAATTTTGATTGGTTATATCATTACAGGACAACATCAAAATAAGTGATTTTGCTTTCACAGCGGTTACACTGCATCGTTTCTTAGCAGATGTATAAGTGGCCATTCCGTTCTTTCGTATTGCCGAGTTATCTGCTCTTGTGAGCAGGTATTGATTGTTACGTCAATTGTTTGTGAGAGTAACGTCATCAATTTTTGAAAAAACGGCGTAATTTTCTCACACAAGCCAATGACGTAACAATCAATACCTGCTCACTCACAAGAGAAGATAACTCTGCAAAACGCAAAGACGGAATACAGACATGGAAGGAAGAACATGTACATGTTGGCCGCAACCCTTCACTTGAGTGTGACAAAAGAAAATTCTGTGCCAGTCTGTGTGGTTTATTGTAATAAAACCAATTCTTGTCTCTCTAAATAGGGATGGTTACAATATGGTCATGGAGTGCATCAAAAACCACACAAGTGGGTGCTCGGCCGAGAGGAAGGCCGTGTTCGAATCTTCCAAGGAAATCACCGGTATCCTGCAAGTCTCCTACTGTCCGTCGGACAAAATGTCCGAGTACTCCAAATTGAAGATGGATGGCTGTGCACCCGAAACGGCACAGTATTGTTTGGACTGGTACTTAGAGGAGCTTCCCACCAAGTCAGCCTTCCATATCGAGGATTCATGCGAGTAAGTCTTTTATATCAGTTTCGTAGTTTTTAGAATGACTGATCTACAAGATTGAAAGATATCGACAGATAATTTACGAAAAGGGTTTTAAATACAGCAAATCATTCACATTTTGTGACTTTTAATAAATCTATACATCAGCTTTGCAAAAAAATATTTTGATTAAAGATATACACAAAATATTGTAATTGAGTGGATGCCGGTGACCAGACTGCAAGATTGCTTAGAGCATTTCTCAGGGGTCAAGAGACGCTGGGTTGATTCAGTCTAAATATTCACTTTCTGTTTCACCCTCACAGAGTACCGTATGTATTTACTGATTTTGCAGTATAATGGATGAAGTGTTTATGTGAGATATGTAGGGAAGTGTAATTAGTCAATAAGAATCTGTTTTTACCGTGAATACTGTGATGATGTACATGTATTAAAAAATATGATCATATTTTTTGGATTTTTTGTGTGAATATTAACTATGATTCTTGTAATAAGAAGAGCACTTTTCAGTAAATGGTAATTGAAATTTGTTGTTTTCAGAAAGTTGTTATATTTCAATACTTAATTCCAAGTTTGAAAAACATTTCCAAAACTTTGCTCTTCAATGTCAGAACTCTGCGTTTGGCACCAGACTGAGTTTATGCTATACAATGAACGTGTGTTGTATTACAGGAAGGCCGGTAAGGCTGTTCAATGTATGTGGTATCATACCGTCAACTGCACGTCTTCAACTGACCTGACGTCCGTGATGGCTGCTGCGAAGTCCATAGTCTCCATGGTCGGACACAAATGCTTTCCGATGGCTTCGCCCGATTTGTGCGAGTCCTTGACATATTTGTCCGACCACCTTGTAGCAGAGCAGTCGTCATGTGCATATGAAGAAGCTATGGACTGTGTCAACTTGTTCACTGCAGCAAAGCCAGCACTTGAGAAAGTTCCGGAGATGGTGTGCCAGTAAGTTGATGATATTATTTTACCATACAGATTTCTTCTGTTCCAATAATTTTTGTTACTTGTANGGGGGGGGAAGCTTGAGAAAAATTGATTGTTTCCAAATCACAAATTATTGTGAAAAAGATGTCAACATATACCATGCTTTGATATTTGTACAGTTTTCCGTAACAAAACACAGGTAAAAAATTGTTATCTTTAAACAGTATGGTAGTTAATCAGTTTGTGAAATCTGTACATGGTAAATAATTATTTAGTACTATAAATACCTTATTCCTTATTCTTGTTTCTTGGTTAACTGTCTATTATGATAAGCTGAAGATTCTTTTATTTTAAAGAACTTTTAAACGGTTCTTACATGTTAAGTGTTGTTTCTATTGATGTACCGTAGAAGTCTCAATAGTTCAAAGTCTATGTTACTTGTACATATACTACAGGGAAAAAAAAGGAAAAAATGAATTACTAATTTGGGGTTTTGTTCCAGTGCTGGTCATAAGGCAGTGGTGTGTGCTATGGTGAAAGGATCAGGATGTACTGAAGCCCAGAAGGACGCACTAAATACTTCTATTCAGACGGTTGCTGCAACAGTTATGCCTTTGTGTGCCAACATGTCAATGGAAACTCGTAACCCATGTAATGTTACCTATGCCGAAAACCAGCTGGTGTGCAACACAAACTACCTCACGTGCTTCGCAGGATTCACGGAACCAGCTTCAATGTGCACGTATGTTACATTGTTAAAATGTCTTTTTAATTTCAATTCTTTGCCTTGACATCTGACATTATGTCTGCTAAAATTTCTGGTTAGTTAGCATTATCTGATAAAAGTGCTGTACATGAATCCTTTTGATGATTTTTGTCTTGGCATTCGATATAATGTACATGTCTGCTTTAATTTTCTGGTTAAGAATTAATATATCTTTCAAAAAACACAGAATTTTTATTTTTTTATGAGTTTCATCTCAACATTTGACAAAACATCTACTAAAATTTACATGTAATTAGCAATGTCTTCTGAAAATACAGAAATGCTTTTCATGTTTCTATTACAACTTACAACATTGGCTTTCAAACATTTGGGGAAGGTACCAATTACTTGTAGAAGTACAGGAATTCTTTGCATGATTTTTGCCTTGGTATGTACATTCGACATGATGACTGCTAAAATGTTAAGGTTGGTTATAGCATCATCTCATAGAAACAGGTAAGAAATTTTGTATTCCATTAACTGCAGGTCCCAAAAAAAAAAGAATTCAGAGCAGAGAAATATATTCTATTTCATGTTGTACATTTTCAGGAATGCACCTGCTATCAAAGCCTGTATCAGTCTCCACCTGCGAGGCTGCGATGTCAATCTTGTGTACGAGAACCAACTCAGTGTTATGGTTACAAAGCAAATGCTTGAGGACGCAACTGGCCTGTCCTGTGACATTGTACCGACTCTGCCCCCCGGTGTTGCGAGCCCCACCTACACCAGGAATGCGACGTGTATGGGAGGGATGGACATCATGACGCAATACCTCTACAACCCTAATGCCACAGAGATGCACCTCTGCAAGGCCTGGCACGCTGTTCATGACTGCGTGTTGGAAAGTGTTGACCAGATGCCCATTATGCTGAAATCTTACATGACAGAGCTCGCCAGGTCAATTTCGGAACAAATGAGACTACGATGTTTTGTCGAAGGTAGTTAAAGTATTTAAGTTCAGCATTTGTGTAATTAGCAAAACAACTTCATTCTGAATTTTTTCTGCAATGAAATAAAATATCCGTAATGCTATAGTTATTCAGCGAGCAAACTTTTGTATAATACTGTTCTTTTATCATATGTAAAGTATTCCGTTGTCTTTACTAAGTCCTTTTGTCGGAAGACCTGAAAATTACAATATCTACCGGTATTTGTGAAATGCTTAGTAATTTTTATTTTTGTTTATTTAAAGTGAAACCTTTGTAAAAAAAAATGCAGGTATTAATTAAAATGGTGACTGGTGTATAAATTGCGATTACGACCGTAACTAAATAAATATATATATATATATATATATAATATATACCTGAACAGATGGTGACAAAGGTACCTGGTTTTTATGTTACAGATAATTTTGAGCTGATCTATGGAAAGGAAGAAAATGTTGAGGACTGGGGTAAGATTTCAACGAAATGTAGCTTTAAAGAGAAAGTAAATATTCATGTCTGTAAAAAGAACTCTAACCTCTTGACTACTGTACATTAGATATAATCAATATATCTTGTGATAAAGTATCATGGATATACTTTTTTTTTCTCTATAGAATGCTGAATATGGATATTGTAAATAGCTATGAACATGAATTCATTATTAAACTAAACTTGCCATGCAATAATTTTGAAACAAGATTTCAACTGGTATAAATCATTCCTGTTTGCCCATAGGAAATTAAAAAAAGTGTACAAGGGGTTTTAATGATGGAAAAACTCTTGAGTAACCCCACTTGGTTGGACAGGCGACCCCATACTTTTTCACATTTTATTTAGGAATTAACCCTGTTTTGGTGAAATGCATGTTAACTTACCTTTGTACCATCTGACTGCACAAGACTTCTGTTAGCATGTTGACTGTGTGAATATGTTATTTGTCTCTGAATTTGTCCCGGCGGCCAAAATATGACAGCTGTATATATATTTACATAAAATCTATATGATTTTGCACAGATGCCTTCCTGAATGTGTCCGGTTGTAATTTGACTGAAGCGTCTGTGTGCCTCGGAAGTTACTTTGAGACAGCTCTCTATTCTGGCTTGACGGCACTACAGGATAAAGAATTTTTTTGTGGGTAAGTGATTGCAACAAATATGTAACTGTTGACTTCACAGGTATCTTTATTCTGACGAGTGATTCATGTACATTTCAAAGAAAGACTTGGGGAGTATTTATGATTTTCACGATTAGCAACTAATTCTACAACTTGGGAGGAATCTGAAGGTATGTTACAGTATAAACCTAAATGATTTTACAACAGTCAAGGGACAAGTTTTCCCTGACATATATTAATCACTTTTGTTGGCCCGGAGAGAAGTGTGCCGAGAGTCTTGATGTGGGAGGAAAATGTAATAGTAAACCGAAAAACCCCACGTGATTGGACAGGTTACTCAATGCCTTTTCACATCAGATCAGGGAATCGAAATTCCTGCCGTCTTGTTGAAAGGCGAACGGCTATCCACTGCACCACCTGACCACCCTCCAATTTATATAACTGTAGAACAGACAGATACCTCTCACCAATATTGTGTCTTTTCAGGTCCTTCCTCACTGACCAGCTGCAGTGTATCCATAACCACACGGATTCCTGTCCAGCCCCCGCCAAAGCTAGGTTTATGCGTGTCATTGACTGGTCGTCCAGCATCTCCACCAATCTCGGCATCTGTTCCATTGAATCACCACGGCAATGTGATCCACGGGAAGCTGTTAAATGTATCATAGATCTGTCCAGTGCACTTCTCGCCTATGGGGAAGGTGACGAGACTAATGCACTTTGTGCGTAAGTACCCTGGTGATTTTCGTTCAAACTGTGGTGGTATGTGATGCTTTAGTAATTTTGTGAAATCAAGATTTTTAAGTAAAATAATGTTGTGATACCACTATTCTTGATTAGTTCTGGATTCTGGATTCATGAAATCATAAACAGTAAGAGAGGAAATACGTTGTAATGTTAGGGTTGATGAAAACATGAATACTTAATGATGAACACATTGTGGTATTGAGGTTAATGAGACTATGAACTCTAGCTGATGTGAACATGAATATTAGTTGATGAGCACATTGTGATATTGAGGATGATGAGACCATGAACACTAGTTGGACACATTGTAATAAAGAGGTGAATAAGAACAAGAACATAGGTTGATATGAACACATTGTGATATTGGGGTTAATGAGACCATGAACACTAGTTGGACACATTGTAATAAAGAGGTGAATAAGAACAAGAACATAGGTTGATATGAATACATTGTGATATTGAGGTTAATGAGACTATGAGCACTAGTTGATGTGAACATTAACATAAGTTGTTGGACACATTGTGATATTTAGGTTGATGAGACTATGAGTACTAGTTGATGTGAACATTAACATAAGTTGTTGGACACATTGTGATATTGGGGTTAATGAGACTATGAACACTAATTGATGAATACATTGTGATATTTAGGTTGATGAGAATATGCACTCTAGCTGATGAACACATTGTGATATTGAGGTTAATGAGACTATGAACACTAGTTGGACACATCATAATAAAGAGGTGGATAAGAACAAGAACATAAGTTGATGAACACATTGTGATATTGGGGTTAATGAAACTATGAACACTAATTGATGAATACATTGTGATATTGAGGTTGATGAGACTATGAACTTTAGCTGATGATCACATTGTGATATTGGGGTTAATGAGACCATGAACACTAGTTGGACACATCATAATAAAGAGGTGGATAAGAACAAGAACATAAGTTGATGAACACATTGTGATATTGAGGTTGATGAGATCATTAACACTAGTAGATGAATTCGTGTATTGAGGTTGAATCAAAAGACATTATGTTAGGATTTTCATATTGATGTTGATGAAATGATAATTGATAAAACAGGGAACACATAGACAGGGAACACATAGATATAACATTGCCAAGTATGTACAAGGACAATATGGGAGAAAAACATAGTTTTATTTATGAAGTGTTTCTTTATTATTCATCTCAATGCCTGTCAATAGAAAAGAGCATTTCGGTTGCAAAACTTCACCAACCCGAACTTAATGAATGACCTTGGTTTGACCTTGACAGAGCACTGATACCTACAGAAATGTGTGTCACCTATCAAACCAGTGGGTGTTCCGATGAAGCTCGTCTGAGTGTTGAATATACATACGCTTCCATAGCTGCCATGATCATGAAAAAATGTGAGGAACCCAAACTTTACATGGAAATGGCGAACTCTTGCGATGCTAAAGGTATGTACATATCATGATCAGCATAAATGGATCACGTCTCCATGATGCAATTTTTATTTTTTCTTAAATAACTTGTTTATACTCATTCACCCCTGAAGACACATGTGAACTCCTCCAATTCAAAGGTTGGAATAGTTCATTACAAACTTTTAGGGATGATTGAGTTAAAATGTTTCATGTTGAATGCTACTTTCAGGAAACAAAACGTCATTGTTGTATTGTTTTTAAGAATAATCTTTGATCTTATAGAAACGAAGCATCATTTCTCTAAAAAAACAATTATCAAGTAGCCTGAAGGGAGAGTTGAACTATTGTAACAGTGAGGAACCTTTGTTTATAATGCTGTCATTGGGTGTGGGTTTTTTATGAGGACGAGACCGGGCATAGCTATGAGTAATAATCTAAAAGCTGTATGTATTATATATTGTTTTTTTTGTCTATTTGGGGAATTGTTTTTGGTGAATTAGAAAAACAAATTGACATGTAAAATTATTTTTGGTCAGCAAAATTTACAAAAAAACAAAATGTTTTTTACAATCATGAAGACATGATTAAGATAAAATGATGAAATAATTGAAAAATAAGGCAACATACGGAATTGAGGGAAACAATTAACTCAATAGTCAACCTGTGAAAGCATGAATAAAGTGTAATCATTTAATCTTTGAATAAGACAGAATTTAAACTTTTGACTCATAACACAAGGTACATGCATTGTCAGACGACGTGTCACAACGAACAAAATTGCAAATCATGCATATACATTACAGAAAGTTGTTTTTATACTTGTCAATTTGGAAGAAAAAAAACCCCGCTTTACCAGTTCCAATCTTTTCATTAAAACTTAAACTATTTTACAGAGGAATGCAATTTTGAAAGGAGTAAACATTGTCTGATGGAAGTCGCGGAGAAGGCCTGGAGTGTTGTAGAGGGCTATGGAGACCGAATGAGTGTCTGCAGGTACAGCATTATATAAACTTCTACTGCACATAACAAACGAGTCCCTATTGAATGGATGTTTAATCCTATATAACTATATTCAATAACAAAGGTTTTTGTCAAAGAAGAATTCTGTCACAGAAGTTGACCCGCTTATACCACTTCAAAAGCACATAACTAACACTACCTTATTTTTTTCGGTTTTCATGTCTAGCTAGCACCAGTATATTATACTCCAACAGTGCTAGAGGTTTACCCGGCGAGATACTTTTGATAGGCGCCGCTTAGCGCGGTCGGCAAAATCATATCCGATAGAAAAAAGGCCGACCAGCAGCCTCCTTTGTTAAAGGAGTACAGTATATTACAATCGTCAAATGTCTCAGGTTTAAAACAAAATCTTGTATCATTAAGTTACATTTCTTCAAGGAAAATGATAATTAATGGCATTGCTGAAAATTGTTTCATAGGATGTGAAAATGTTTTTTGTGGAATAAAAACTAGATTTTAAGTGTGATATAAAAATAACTTGTGTGGGATACAAAAATCGATGTGTTTTACAGAGAGGTTGTTGGATTGGGAGAGTGTGCCCAGAAGAACATGATGGGATGTAAAGACATGCAGAAGGACATCCTCAGTTTCTACGGTGAAATGATGAAGACACTCGTCTCCAATATCTGTGATGCTGGTACGTTACAGTCACTTGTCTCTACTATCTGTGATGCTTGTAGGCATCTTAGCTTCACTGCTTAACTCATTCACCCCTGACATTTCATAATGAATTATTCCAACCTTTGAATTGGAAGAGTTCAAATGTGTCTGCAGGGGTGATTTAGGTAAAATATCTGATTCAGCAAATGTTACAGTGTTGCTCTGCCTACTGTAACATCTTCACATGACTACATACTACTGTATACCAGGAAATGTTCGTCGAATCAAATTTTCGCCCTTTGCCGGTATAATTCATATTCACACAGTTTTAAATTTGCCCTTCACATTTAATTACTATGTATAATAAATATGTCCCTCATGAAGAAAGGCAGAAATTCAACTGCAGTGAAAATTTCTTGGTAGACAGTATTGTGCATTCAATTTAACGGAATTTTCCAGTTGTGTTAGCTTGAAACTGGTCTAATGAAAGTAAAAATGATGAGCAACACCACCACTGAATCTGGTACAAAATGTAATGTTTGATTTACATCCACCTCCCAGTTGTAACTGGTCTGTCTAAACGACCAGCGAGCTGCAAATGACATGTCAGCAAATCTAATAGGGAAAAGGTACAATTGTTTAGGAAAAAACCTTGATAGCTCTGGCATAGAAAGTTGTGATACAATGCTACAATGCAGATAACTGCCTTAATATTCAAGTTTTGCATGCGGTGACGTTACTTGGAGTCAGTTTAGCTTGTTACACGTAGACCGATAGACAATTTGATAAACATCGGAAATTATGTTTTTTTACTGGCCACCATATATTGGATCCAACTTGGTATCCTCAAATGAGTTGTTCCTGACAAACCTGTTTGTTCTGGCCGAGCCTTACATTCCATATAGTGATCGTCTGGTTCATATCGGCACAACTAAAACATTCTGCTGAATGGAACACACTGCTAGTGTTGAATATGAGATTCTGTTACCCTGGACAGGTGTATCCGCACTTTTACCGGTGTGAGATTTCCTTGTCTCACCCTAGGGTTGAGACGGGGGCATTCCCCTATTCATAACAATGGCATGACGTCACTTCAACAATACAATGACGTCACGTCAACAATCCGCCAACGTCACATCAACCCTGAATTTAGCATGTAACGTTATCGTTACATTGTGTATATGATACACAATGGGAGAACAGGGTAAGAGAAAAAGAATCATTCACCCCCTTGTGGGTGAGATAGGGGAATCTCCACCCTCGGGAAAAGATTCTTAAGTTGCCAAACACTCGGCAAAGCCTTGTGTTTGGCAATTTAAGAATCTTCCCCTCAAAGCCTTGTGTTTGGCAACTTAAGAATCTTCCCCTCGGGTTGAGATTCTCCTATCTCACCCCCAAGGGGGTGAAAGATTCTATTAGTAATTACTTGATGCAGGTTTAAATATACATGTTCAAGTACATCGAATACTTCAGTCTCTAAAAAATGTAACACTCTTATGTCTAATTTCAACAATTTATGCAAGGATTTTTTTTATCAAAGCCATTTTAAGGACTGATAGAAGCTTGCATTAATTCTTAGACCCAAGTACAGTCGGCTTAAGGTTTTCAGGTGTTTCACGGTTAATATCGGAGAAATGAACCACAGATTTCATAAGAGTGATGAATATTTTACTTAGTCTAATGAATTTACCTGTCAGATGTGACCTTTTGTGTAAGTATTTACTTTCAGAGTTCTTAGTGTGACCTTTTGTCTAAGCATTTACTTTCAGAGTTCTTAGTGTGACCTTTTCTTTATTTTACATACCTAACTAAGTATTAAGGACAGATGTCTTTATTTGTTACATAAATGTTTTTGTTAATGATCTCAGCATTATTTTAAAGCCATGCTTTAACTTTTGTTGTTATAGGTAGTAAAGATATGGTACCGGAGCGCACAGACTGTAAGACATCTTATTTTTATGTTATTTGGTATTTTTCATGTCAATTCAATTTTTGTGAACCCTCCCCCCCATCAAACACCACGCATGTCCCAGTGTCCCCATATTTTTTTTCTTGAGCCGTCTTTTTTTAAATGTTAAAACCTATTTTAGGCCCCACACAGTATTAGAATACAAATCACTTATTTTTGACCTTTCACCCATTTTTTATCATGAAAATATATTAATAAAAGGGTTAGTTCTTCATTATTTTGTATTCAAATCTTGTGTCATCTTATTGTACATTCATCATAATGTATTAAGATTTTTTTTTAAAATTTCAGTTATTTACTATTAACAAAATGTATGTTATGATGATGAATGAGGCCTTTTTGTGCTCAAAATTAAAAATATTTGACATTTTATAAAGGAAATATTTCTTGCATCAACATTTGTAAGTCATTGATGACGTTGATTTTTGTAACTGAACATTATCAGACACAAAGTTGTATCTTGTCTGTACTGCTTACAGCCCCCAAGATGTGTGTGACATTAGCGGGGCATTGTATGAAGGACTTCATGACCGTGACTCTGGGAGGAACTCTCACCGGGTCCTGTGGGTAAGTTACTTTTCCTTCGATCTTAAATAACTGCAACTCACTTGAAGGTCGCATTAGCGGATCCCGGTTGAAACGGTTCTGGTGGTGCAGAAATATTCCACGATAAACGAACGCACTTGGGCCGAACTGTAGGCAGAGCTAAAAAGTGTGGCACAGTTTCGGATATGTGAAAGGGGCCTAACTCTACAACTTTTCGGCCAAAAACAGGAGTGGACATTGCTCGCTCTTTGATTTAATGAAAACGGTCATTGAGTCATAAGTATCACACTTTTTTTGACTTTTAGAAATATTCTCAATTCTCAAAATCAGACGAGTGTCATAGTATATTTCCTGTGATAAGACAGTGAATTCCATGGGGAATAAACTAAATATCAAAAATATTAAAGGTTTAAAATGTTTAGGATGTTCAATTGAAAAATCATCTAGAGCTAAGAACTGATTTTATACTAAAGCCAGGGCCTGGTTGTCCTTATTAAAAAAATAATGTATGATAACAAAAGATGTTTGATGATGTTATTATAGCATAAAAAATTACTATTTATCACATACCTGTTGAATCTTGTTATAGTAATACAAGCAATTTTCAGACCATGAAATACAATGTTCTGTATTGCACATGTGCAATTAGAAATGTTGTATTTACCTACTAGCCGGAACTACTTTTTATGGGAACCCCCTTGTCATGGCGAACTGAAAAGTTCCCGGTATTTGCAAAAAAAATCAAAGTTTACAAAATCTTTGTATCGATCTCTAACAAATACGGAAGGTATGTGATTAAAGCAAGACCACACACTTGTGTTTTTCTAACAAATCAGAAAGCACTCATTTATTGTACTCCTGATTCGTTTGAAAAACACAAGTGTGTGGTCTTTCATATGTATTTGATAACAATTTAAAATATTTTCTGTGTATTTGATTGATAAATAAAGTATTTTCTGTGTATTAGATCGATAAATAAAGTATTTTCTGTGTACTTGATCGATAAATAAAGTATTTTCTGTGTATTTGACAAAGTCATTCATTGTAATTTCTGCATATTGGATGACATAAAATGTTTTTTTTTTTATATATATTTGATGTTTAAACAACAGTATTTTCTATTTTAAAGATGACTAATGTTTATCAGATTGAAATAATGTGTTTACCGTATTTCTTGTCCACAGTCAAGCCCCTGGGACAATAACATGTCTGATGACTGCTATCAAAAGTGACTGTCATCCACCCCAACGTGAGATGATAAAAATGGCTATGGAGCAAATCTCAATGTTATCCGAGCGAGTGTGTTCATATGGCAGCTGTAACTTAGAACTGGCTAAAATGTGCGTCATGGAGGCAGACAGCCTCATTAAAAAGGCAGCCGACCGCTTCATGGAGTCGTCAATTATGTGTGGGTCAGTACACTAAAAGGATCTTGTGAGTCAAACGTCGTCAAGACGGAAAGAACCATTGTAGCAGTATACAGTAGAGGGTTGTGGCCATGGGTGATATTTTTGTTAAATGGCTAACCCCTGTATAATGATATGTAAAAAAAATATAAAAATAAAACTGTACTAAAATTGGTATAAGCATGATGAAGTGGGCTATGTGAGCTTCACATTTGTAAAAAAGAAAGAAGATTTCTTTGGTTCGAGATATAATTTTGGCCATAATACGAAAGGGTGCGTACACATGAAAAGCTAGCTTTACAGGAGGTAAAATTTTGACAACAGCACACAACGCAAAATTGCAAAAAATCAAGTTTTACAACTTTACTGGGACCCAGATAATTCTGCAACCAGATAGGTTATCTTTAATTTCAGACAGAGCTTAGGAAAAAAATTACTAGTTGCGGGGGTCAAATTTTGGGTTAAAAATAGCAGTTTTTGGCATTTTTTGGTAATTTTTGATGTGGTAACCATGGTTTTCACACAAGTGACATACATAGAAAAAAGAGGTTTATACACTTCTCAGTCCTTTATATGTATTGTAAATGTAATGCAGTTTACAAATATATATACATGTATGCATGTGTTGTGATGGGTAAATCCGCTGTGTTTACATTTCCTCGACATGTGCCTTGTTTATCAGAGTCGGACCATTTCTACTGTATACTGTTACCTAGGGTTACATAAAGTTCTATACCTTATATATAAACTTTAATTATTTTACAACAATTATGAAACAAGTTTTTACAACTTTTACGAATGACTCTTGTTGGCCCAGATGTTAACCTGCGGGGGATTTTACTGTGGGGGGGAACCAGAGTACCCAGAGAAAATCCAAAAATCGTTTTGGTGGATATTGCTGAGGGTTTAGGGTCAAGTTTAACTCGACAGATGTTGTGGTATTGTATAATCCCGTAATTAATGATGCTCAATTGTGTTTATTGTTTTTTTAAAGAGAATTGTGCGCAAATGTTTAAATAATTCTATCATACATATCGTTGGCAATGAAATACCGATGACCATGACATTTTCTTGTTTGACCTTGCAGTGCCCTTGAAATGAGCATGTCCTGTGCTCACAAACACTTCATGTCCTGTGACAGAACAACAAATCCATTTATGGCTATTCATCTGAAGGAGCTGAACTCCGTTAAAATGAAGTTATGTGATGAGCACAAAAAAGAGTATGATATACAGTCGTTGAGAATTCCTGATACAGCTGGACTCATGGCCCTGGCTGCCATAGTTACTAATCCACTTGCTACCAAGGAGCAGATCTGCCCGTAAGAAAACATTTCATCATCTTTAATCCTACCTTATTCATGACTGAAGGATCCCCATATCTTTGCCAGCAGTTGTAACTATGCAGAGGAAAGCATTTTAACTGGCATGACTTATGATAGGTTTGATAAATCATTTCTGAAAAAGAAAAAAAACAACATTGCGGGACATTTAAAATATATGGAGATGAAATGAAACAAAAAATAATCAACAACAGTGTTCTGATTTTAAAAATTCAGCAAGACTAGTCAGGGATTAGAACCACAGACTTCAGGTTGTTATACTAACTCTAACCGGCTGTGCCATCTAGCTAGTCAACTGAAGTTTCCTGGCAAAATTTTAATACTTGTTTTACGTTGAAATTAAAACTCAAATTGCATCTGAAGAATAGGAACACAGAAAGATTTGAATATTTTTGAATTTTTCTCTAAATTTGCTTATTAAGGATTATAACGAATAACTTATCAAGCATATCATACTTTTCAAAAATAACTAGGCCCAATTACGCTTGTTAATTTTATGAATATTTTTATTGTAGACAAGCCCTAGCCATCGAACAAGGGATAGCCCAGTTGGCTTTTGAACTCTCAGCTTCGGAGTATGATGAAGTCGCGAAGGCATTTTATCTACCTAGCAAGATCATCGGTGATATGTGTTATAGAGAGGAGGACAAACAAGACACAGGTGTTGGTATGCAGTGTGATGAGCTAGCTGCCGTGTCTTGTCTCGCAGAGGCAAACCTTGTGACCCACATCAAGGAGGCTGTTTTCTACGGCTGGCAGGGTGCATGCATGTAAGACTATATGTTGTCTCTCAGTATCACCTGTATATAAACATGTCAGTGATATCTATACCGGTGTCTGTGTCAACTGTGTAACTGTGTCACCTGTGTCACCTTTGTACTTGTGTCACCTTTGTAACTGTGTCACCTTTGTCAACTTTGTACCTGTGTCATCTTTGTAACTGTGTCACCTTTGTAACTGTGTCACCTGTGTCACCTGTGTCATCTTTGTAACTGTGTCACCTGTGTCACCTGTGTCACCTTTTGTAACTGTGTCACCTGTGTCACCTTTGTACCTGTGTCACCTTTGTAACTGTGTCACCTTTGTAACTGTGTCACCTGTGTCACCTTTGTTCCTGTGTCACCTTTGTAACTGTGTCACTTGTGTCACCTTTGTAACTGTGTCACTTGTGTCACCTTTGTAATTGTGTCACCTTTGTAACTGTGTCACCTGTGTCACCTGTGTAACTGTGTCACCTGTGTCACCTTTGTAACTGTGTCACCTTTGTAACTGTGTCACCTTTGTCAACTTTGTAACTGTGTCACCTTTGTAACTGTGTCACCTTTGTAACTGTGTCACCTGTGTCACCTGTGTAACCTGTGTCACCTTTGTAACTGTGTCACCTTTGCTGTTTTAATCAAAATGTTGTCATGTAAAAGTGTTTAAACATAAAGTTGATTGAAAAACGCCTGTAAAGTGATTTTGTTGAAGTATGTATTAAATATTGTGTGATAAATGCCAATATGAAATGCTCCTCCGCCATCTCGAACATAATTGTACTGTTTCTTGTATTATGTAAATATTTAACCCGTATGACGTAGTGCATTTGGATATGAAAATAACTTGAACTAGTAACTTGAAGTTATGTACCTGTGTTTATGTTGTTTTAGGTCGGTACAACAGCTGATGTGCTGTGTCACACAAAAGACGTCAAACTGTCCATCAGTAAAACTCGCCCACCAGATCATTATGGATGGCGTCAACCTCGTCTCTGATCACTGCCCTGTCGAGGAAATATACAAACATTTCCTTGCTGAGTGTAAGATGCCTACAGTGCAACCATGTAAAGTCGCAGATGCCTTTACAGCTTGCTTCCCTCCAATGGAGGATGCCAACAGAGCCAACGTCTGCTCGTAAGTTGATGACCTGTAATGTTATGTAATTTTAAAACTATTCCATTGCTAGGCATTTGGTTTAATTATCCTGTCCCTTTAAAACCCTATTATCCCAATTTACAGTAGAATGGCAACAACACAAAAGAATAAATTGAAAATTATATTACATCATTCAATGTTGAAAAGAATTTCTAGTCGTGCGAGTACTTCTATAAAATAAGAAATAATTGAAAAAGAGGTCTTGAAAAGAATGTCTTGCAGGGTATTGCTTCTTTTATGAATAAATGTAGCATTTCGATGTTGTCAAGGATGTCTGGGTGATTCCTGAGTCTCCATGATCACTCAGTGTAACCTTGCTTTGTTGTCAGGAATCTCTCTATGATTGCGGCATGTGTACATAAGCATGCCGCCGGATGCTCCATTATACAAACATCAGCTCTACAGTTCTACGTGGAACAGTTCAGCTTATGGGTACAGCCTTGTACCTATTTGGTTGGTTTGGACTGGGGTATCTACTCCAAAGGGGATGAGTACGGCAGACTGGTTGCATGCAATAGCGTCTACATGAGCGATCTTCAACATACTCTGAATTCAACTCAGGACCTGAAAGAAAGCTTTTGTCGCATTTCCCAAAAAGCCTCCACATGTTACCTATTGAACCAGCACCATATTCCAGCCTATCTAGGATATGTACTGGAATCAAAGCAGAGATCTTATGGAAAATTGGAGGAATATTGTGATATGGGAAAAGGTGAGCATTTGTCAAATTTGTCAATTTGTCGGAGATATAAACTGTAAAGTTAGGTATTTCTAAATCATACATGATATGTTATATTTTCACTATTTAAATTTTTGATGATTTGGACCCTGCAGCGGAGATGTAGGTATCCTATAGTAATGACTGTCACCGGCCAGCCTTCCACTTTAGTTTCTGGAGATTATAACAGAATCTGAAAGACTAAGCTTTCTGAAATTTGACTCCATGAAATATAGATGTACAATGAGGGTTTAAAACAATTCATAGATCAAGGTCACTGATACTAAAAATAAACTGGGGGTTATGGTCCATATCTTGAAACCCAAAAGTCTAAAACAATATTTAATTTGACATGGTGATACACTGTGATATGAAGATGTGCAGTATGGATTTAAAAAATCTCTTAGGTCGAGTTAAAGGTCACTGTTACTAAAAAGAGACCGGGTGTTTGTTTATTGTTTTAATAGCAGAAAAAGACGGTGAGTGCCCGAAGAGTGGGGATGCTGGTATCTGTGTCATGAACTGTAGTTCTGATTTTGAATGTGAGGGTCAGAAGAAATGCTGTTTCAATAACTGTGGATATACATGTGTTATGCCAACAGGTAAGTCAGGTATTCCACTAGTGTCATCCAGTAAAAATCCATTAAGTAGGTTATGTCCCAGCACTCGTTATTGAGTCTCCAACACTGAAGAGTTCCTATATTGCGTTACCTGACTTGGAGTTGGAAAGAAATATATTTATTCACAGTATATTTCCTTTTCTGCGAAAAAAGCATCTTTTACTTACCTAAGAAGATTCCATTTCTGGAACTCTCGATTGTAAATAGGAGGCTTAACCACTATGCTAACAAACAGTAATATTCTTTTGTAACATGACTGGGGATAATTTCATAATGTTCTAAGTACCTGAAAAGGTGAACAATGCATATATTTTTTTGTTTATGAATATTCAGATAATAGTTTGAATTTAAGTAGAAAATAACTTTTTAAGGCCTGTATGCAGTACAAAAATTGGTGGGATGCTTTAACTTAAGGCCTGCATGAAATAGAAAAGTTTGGTATAATCCAAGGCCTTACTAGTTGAGTCACTCCATCTTAAAGCCATATGTAATAGAAAGTGGTGGGACATTCTAACTTCAGTGACATTTCTCACCTGTATTATATAATGAGATCTATTAACTTGGTGACACATTTTTGTCAAAAACCCCCAAACAGTTGCAGGGTTTTCATTGGATGCCGATAGTAGCATCTGTCTGCCTATTGTCACCTGATAAGGGTCCTGCATCAAAACATGAATGGTCACCTTTTCACTTTTTTTATTTTTTTTAAAATATGTTTGTTATTAAGAAATGTTTGAACGTTGTTTCCCTTCTTGAATTGCAGGTGTAACAACCACCACAGCAGTAGCACCGGTAGCAGGTAAGTTTAAAACCACAAGATTTTAATTCAGTTTTAAGTTCCATTTTTAGCTCCCCTGGCAGTGGTCATGTTTGCTTATGCCATAGTGTGTCTGTTTGTACATTTGATGATAGTTTTTCTTTATAATGCTACTAGTCATGAATGGCTGAGAGTAGAATTTGATTAAATTTGAACCAGATCATTGCTACGCCAAGGGGACTCAATTTTGTACATAGGGAAGGTGTGCCCCTCTTCCCCCTTGGGGCATAGAGACTTCTGGGGGTGACTGAGATCCAAACCCTTACGCTACATGTACATGTATTATTAATGGGTATTAAGATGATCAGTCTTGGCCTCTGGATCCACCCTTAGTCCCCAAGTCATAACATGGAAAAAGCTGAGGTACCCACCCAATTACCGTATAGTATATACAATTGTTTGGCATAAAGAGATGAACACAATCATGCTACCAGTACTGACCCCTTGGTCCAGTTCTACTCCTGGGGACTTGAACCCAAGGTCACACATAGCATAGACACACTTGAGATACCCATTTTATAACCATATATACCATTGCTAGGAAACACTTGAGATACCCATTGTATAACCATATATACCATTGCTAGGAAACACTTGAGATACCCATTGTATAACCATATATACCATTGCTAGGAAACACTTGAGATACCCATTGTATAACCATATATACCATTGCTAGGAAACACTTGAGATACCCATTGTATAACCATATATACCATTGCTAGGAAACACTTGAGATACCCATTGTATAACCATATATACCATTGCTAGGAAACACTTGAGATACCCATTGTATAACCATATATACCATTGCTAGGAAACACTTGAGATACCCATTGTATAACCATATATACCATTGCTAGGAAACACTTGAGATACCCATTGTATAACCATATATACCATTGCGAGTCATGAAAATACAAATACATTCATGCTACCAGGAGTTATCTCTGGGTCGTCTCCTGCTTCAGGCAACTAGTATATTGTTTGATTACATTGAAACATTTGAGATCCCCACCCTGTCACAATATATACAATTGCTAGTCCTGAGTAGACAAACAAAGTTATGCTACTAGGATTGGTCCCTGGGTCAGCATTGCCCCTGCATAAACCCATTTTCTGAGTAATTACATGGCGACAGTTGGGAACCCCATCCTGTAACTAAACATGCCATATACTGGCTTAAAAAGACAAATCATTCACGCTACCAGAAGCGCTTTGGGGTCCGCCCCCGCTCTTGAGGACTAGTACCCGAGTCATTATATTGAAATGGTTGAGAATCCCACTCTTTATCAATACCCTCCAAAATAAACTACCCCTAATATTCTCCAATTCAAAATTGATACATGAGTAAGTATTGAAATATATAAGCAATAAGCATTGAAATTGATAGGATTGTTAAAGAAATAGATTGGGAGTTGAAGAAATCTGTAAATTGTATCTTGATCTTGTTTTATATATTTATCTTTGAAAGTTGTATGAAGATGTAGTGATTGTTTCTTCAGAACTTGCTGGCTGTCAGGTGGGCAAAGCCGCAACATGTGCGACGGCCTATATTATGGGTCTCGATAACTTGAACCTGTTACCATTGGACCAGAGGGGTTCAGTTTGTAGGTAAGTAAGGCATACCTGAAGAACATTACTTAATATACATTGTAAAATAATAAAAAGATGGAATATTTGTAAGTAATAATTCCATTTTATAATAATCCAAGAAGTTTTCTAAGTAGTGAGTTTCCCATCTTCGTATGGCCTTAGATGAATAAGACAAAAGCTTCAAATTTGGGAGAGTGCAGGGAATCTGGAAGGCTGAACATATTTGACGAAGCATAATTGAAATGTTTTACCAAGAAAATTAATTGAAATATGTTAGAACTAAAGTATATTTGAAGATATTTATATATATTATTTGTTCACATGCAAAATTACTTCATTACCGTACTTCTTCATGAAAGTACGTAGCCGGTGATATATCTGTTGTAGGAGGGTATTGTTACCGGCTACTGGCTACTAATGAAACCTCTGCTTTACCACATGGTTGGAATATTTCATAGTTGTGTAATGATCTTCCTCTTTAAACAAGACAGCTAAGATTTAAAAATCCAAACTATTGATTATGAGAAAGAAGTAGGTATCATATTATAGTGTATTATGAAAAATGTCATTGTGGTGTTTTTTTTACAATTGTTGTTGATGAAACCGATTGGTGAAGACATATATGTATTCGATTTCTGTTGATGACAGACAATACTGGAACATGAAACACTGTGTGATGACCAATTTGGAGAATTGCTCTGAAAAACGAAAGGCTATCTTCATGGAGGTGGACGAGCTTGTGAAACACATGTACGATGTGTCTTGTGAGGAATCAATGCAAACTACACTACTGCGGGTGGACGGACTGTGTGTACCAGATGTGGCTGAATACTGTATAAACGCCCTGGGCGAGATGATCTACTACGCACCCACAGGCAGTGAAAAACAAGTTTGCAGGTAAGTACATGAGTGTTTTTCAAACTAGATACACATTATAGAATGAGAATATTTGGAATATTTTGAACATAAAAAATATTTTAGCATTCATATATACTGTATTAGTGAGTAATCAAATTTTAATTAATTACAAGATTCCCTTATGAATTAATTTGTGCTTCCAAATATATGCAATAGAAAATGTATATGGTTAAACTGTGATTCACGCATTCCTTATTTAAAGTGTGTTAAAGGACCTCAGAAAGATTATTGTTGAAATATGTGTGTATACGTTTTGTTTCAAAACATATAATGGGAAAGTTTTGCATTTATTTCTGGAAAGAAAAACTCATTCAAGAATTTTCATCAGAAGGAATTTAAATAATTTTTGCAGGACATCCTACCACATAATGCAATGTGTGCAACGCTCCTTGGAGAGCTGTCCCGAAAATGTCACTATGAACGTCATCAATTCGATGGAACCTGTGATAACCATGCTTGGGGACTCCTGTCCACTGGCTTCTGCCATCAAATGCAACACAACAGCCTGGCGTGACACTGTAACACATGCTGCTTGCAATGAGGACGCCGTGTGGGGAGCATTCCAATACTTTCAGCAAATAGCTACCGCCGAGGCCAAAAACAGTACAGCTGTGTGCAAGTATGTGACACCACATATCTTTCTATCTTCATTGGGAATTTCCTCATATGTAAATATGATTTTCACTATAACCTAAAATATTAAGTTAAAGTCTAATATTTATTCCGAGCTTCAAAGGACTAGGGGCATTAAGGGGAATTTCCAGCCTCAAGCTGATTTTTTAAAAACTTTTTATGAGGCCAAAAATTACCCATAACACCTTTCCTTAAAGTTTAAACACAGGGATTTATGAACTTACATATTACAGCACCTGATTTCTCTTATTTTAACCTTTATGACTTGCAGGGCGTTTGAGGATATATCTATATACGCGACTAGGCAAACTCTGCTCTGTGACCACTCCTCTCTGACCATGATAAACCAGACCTGGTGGTTGATAATGTCCACCTACGGTAAATACTGCAAAGCCAACGGTCATATGTCTCCAGCGTTTATGGGTGCAATGGAATCGGAACAGATGTGTATGCACCAGCCTACATGCTCCAACGACTGGAGCGTTTGTTTCCCCGATATGATGGAGGCCCGTTCTGATGACATATGCATGTAAGGAGGATTTGTTTAAGAGAATACTGTGTACTGGAAAACTGTCACGCTTCGCCAGAATAATCCATACTTGCTCAGTATTGATTTCGCCCTTCACATTTAATTACACTATGGATATATATATGTTCGCTACAATGATAATTTCGGCTTTATTAAGTCGGACGAAAAATTATACTGCAGGGAAAATTTCCTGGTTGAAAGCATATGCTTTAGTTGTTTTACTTCTGATTTGTATTATTTACATATATAGAGGATTCTTAACCACTGATGTTGCTATTATATCATCTACGTATAAATATGTATGTCAAAATAATTTTCTATAGCTCAGTGCAATAAAAACACAGATGTTTCCAAATCACGAAAATTTCCACTTTTACTATGTTTCTAAAATCTGAATTTGATGTATCCTAGCTACTGATAACTGTAAAATGTGCTAAAATGTAATAATCGATTCAGTCTGCTTTTCCCTCTGTATTGGACTAACCGTCTCAGAAATTTATAATTGTAGGAACAAAGAAAAAATACTGATGTGCATGGACAAAGTGCTTGCTGGCTGCGACACAAGTTACAGAGAGAATTCGTTCCATGGCCTCTTGATCGTTATCGGAAACATGAACCTAAGCTGCAATTTGTTGGATGCTATAAATAGTAACATGACCTCATTAGCCGGTCTGAAAGATACTACCGTAGACCCCTGTCTTCTGAATCTAATGACGGGAGGTGGAAAATGGCTGCATTCCCATCTGAACTTTGATAGCCGTGGAATTTGCGAACTGTTCGAGAATTTCACTGAATGTAGTAGCAACTATCTTCAATACCCAATGCCTCCAGTTTACAAAGGAATGTTTAAACAATTCGTCCAGCAAATAAAAACTTACACGAAACTAAGGTGTGAAATCAATGGTAAGGTTCTTTTTGTTTAATATGACTTTAATTTGACAAAGACTATGATATATTACCTGATAACTAACATGTTGTCCGGTTTCTGTCCTTTCCTGGAACAAACACAACATTTGCCAATGTCTGTCCTTTCCTGGAACAAACACAACATTTGCCAATGTCTGTCCTTTCCTGGAACAAACACAACATTTGCCAATGTCTGTCCTTTCCTGGAACAAACACAACATTTGCCAATGTCTGTCCTTTCCTGGAACAAACACAACATTTGCCAATGTCTGTCCTTTCCTGGAACAAACACAACATTTGCCAATGTCTGTCCTTTCCTGGAACAAACACAACATTTGCCAATGTCTGTCCTTTCCTGGAACAAACACAACATTTGCCAATGTCTGTCCTTTCCTGGAACAAACACAACATTTGCCAATGTCTGTCCTTTCCTGGAACAAACACAACATTTGCCAATGTCTGTCCTTTCCTGGAACAAACACAACATTTGCCAATGTCTGTCCTTTCCTGGAACAAACACAACATTTGCCAATGTCTGTCTTTTCCTGAAATGACCCTTTGTTGTCCAATGTTTCTCCGGATGTTTAATGGGCATACATTGTGCTTGTCTGTCATTTGCTGAGATGACCATAGAATGTCCAGTAACTTTGTTTTTCCTGTAATTACCATACATCGTCCATTGTCTTTACCTGTTCGCTTCACGCTATTGAAGATTATACTTGATAAGAGGAACATGTTTGCGTGAGTTTTTCCAAATAGGGTCAAATGTGAATTATAGAAGGCATGTATGATAAATGAATTACACTATCAGAGACTAACACATCTCTATTTTACAGAGGCTCATCGTGAGGTTTGGTGGGACGAGGTAAAACATATGCCAGGAGTGGATTATTTAATCGACCAAATTGAGCAGGGGATGAAGAAGAGTAATGACACTGTTTATGACTCGATGAATGTCATGGAACACCTGTTCCAGATGTTCATGTCCCTCTTTAAAGATATGCCCCATAATGCCCAAGGTATGAATCATTAATATATACCAGGAAATTTGTACCTAATTTGTAAAATCCTTTTTTGCAAATATTGAATTTGCCTTTCTTATTTAATTACTATGTAATTTATATTGTTTACAAATGTTCGCTGTAATGATAAATTCACCCTCATTGCGGAGGGCGAAAAGGGCTGAAAAAAATAAAGTGCGAAATATTATCAATGTTTGTTTATGAATAAGTACTCACTGCTTCAGAGCCAGAAAGCTGTGAACTCAACATGGCTGATAACTGTATGGCAGACACTGTGCTTGGTGCCCTCTACATCGGATATAACCCACTGGGAAGTAGGGAAGCTGCTTGCAAGTAAGCGTGCATTCAATCTGATCATTTTATCTCTGATCAATTAAGAAAAAATAATCTAATAATTGATGTGTAAACAATTTTTTTACTGGCTAAAATATGTACCTTTTTAAATAAGGTGACACAGTTGTTAGATCAATGGAAATTCACCGGATGAAAATGCTCAATTTTAGGGTCCAAAATAGGGAGAGTTGGCAAGTATGATATGTGTCTCTTGATCAAACATTGTAACCTTTCCGATGTTACATCTGAAGTGAAGTATTTGTTTGCCTTTCAGGAGTACCCATGCATCCTATGAATGCGTACTAGAAGCCACAAAGAGTTGCAATTCTATGACGCGCGTCCGCTACTTCCGTATGTTGGAATGGATTGCACGTCTCGGATTGTCGAGCGGCGTTTGCCCCATGGAAGAGGGAGAACAGAGTAAGGTACCCGAGTGTGACTACGACGGTGCCATGGACTGTGTAGGAGAGCTGAGTAAAACCATTGTATACCTTCAGGCTGGAGATTCCAAGGCTGCCCTGATTTCGTAAGTTGCATCCATTTTTTTTCGCTGCTTTTTATTTTTGTAAGGACTCGGATGACTTGGGCCTCTTTCCTTTATCGCGATCCAAACGGTTGGACCAGAGTTGTTCGTTTGTGAAGTAATGTCGAGCCTAGTAATCTGATGCTGCTTCAAGGCGAGCCTTGACAAAGCCTTGCAAGGCCTGCATAAACATTTGCCGGTCTGCCAGGATTTATACCAGAAAAAATGTTTTTTTTTAAAACTCACAAACCAGTTGTTCTGTATAAACGAACAGGCTCTTGGTTTCTTAATGGATTCTCTTTCAAATTTTAACAAAAGTCAAGTACGAGAATACCTGGGATGAGCTTGTGTTTCAGAGTGCCAAGGTCAATGCCAAGCTCATAGTTGCTATTTATATGTTGACCACAGAGCCCAGGTAGAATTTGTGTCTTACAGACCTATCCTAGTTTTGATTAATCATTGAAGTGTCGTATATAGTAACATGAATTTATTGGATGATAAAATTAGTGCTCTCAATTAAAGTGCCAAAATGACCTTTTACATTTCAGTTATAGTGTCAAAATGACCTTGTACATTTCAGTTATAGTGTCAAAATGACCTTGTACATTTCAGTTATAGTGTCAAAATGACCTTGTACATTTTTCTGTTGACAGTTCAGTTTCTTATATGATAAATTGTAACATCAATTTGATAGGCACTTTTTTTATCCAGTAAAAAGATAAATGATGATGNGGGGGGGGGAGGGTCAGAGGGCATTTTGGTGAACAATGTATACCTTATATTGTGATGATGATCAAAAGACATTTATTTGAAAGATTTATGTTTAATTGTTTGGTTTGCAGACCACTGGGACCCACTGAGATGTGCATTGCTGAAAAGACCTGGATGTGTGAACCTCGCTATAGGAAGATGGTTGAAAGCACATACAACGACTTGAAGACCATTGCTATTAGTGTAAGCATGCCAGCCCCCAGAGCAGAGTCTATGAGGAATGAAAGGATGAAGGCTCTCGACATGGCTGCTGACATGTGCCCAGATGATGATGATATGGATGATGAGGATAGGAAATCACCATGTGACGTGTCATCAGCTATGCTCTGCATTAGCTACCTACAAAAGAAACTCCCTGAGATGGGATCTAATAATGAGGAAGCTTGTCAGTAAGTGTTACTGAATTTGAGGTATTTTTTAAACAATTACTTCTCTCTCTATAGTTCTCCACCAATATTAGCAGTGGAGAATGTAAGTTTGAACTCGGACAGTCGGTCCATTTGTGTGTCTATCCTGTTGAGTATATCTCATATACTCTGCCACCTGCAGTTGTCAAATTGTTCTGTGGGAGAACCCCTTCGAGTGGCAGTCATAAAACCAGATCTTGGGTCAAATGGTTATTTCACTCAACCATCCAAAGTGGCACTAAAGCATAGAGGTCAATATTTTCGCCTTAAGTCATCTTACTTGTTTCGCATTCATACAAAAGGTAAAGACTTCGCTTACCATGACAACTTTATGTAATCCACTCATTTCTGTTTACAGGGCCATGGTCACGATGCAAATGTGTGTAAAGCGCAACATGATGGGCTGTATGTCAAGTGAGACCAGTGGTGTTCGAGCCATGATGAAGGAGATATCGGAGAAGGTGCATTGCCCAGCTCTCCAATGTGACATGTGCAGTGCTAGGACCTGTGTGCGCCAACTACACAGGGCAGTTATGCACAGAAAGGCTTCATGCATGTGAGTATAACTCATCATCAGAAATTTAGAAATTAAATAATGTATTTTTTTATTATATTCTTGGCAGATACATCTGATGACTGTTTATGCCCCAACGATAGTATGGGCGTAGGAGGTTTCACATGCTATGATATAATATACATAATATGTAATGTTACCAATGTTTGTCCAATTCCGTCCTTTCTGGTTCTGATCATGATTCATAGTCATTACTGCAGCGACTTCATTTCTAAACAATTCAAACTTAATACATGTGTCAAGTACGAGAACACTTCGAAAGAGTTTGTCTGTCAGGGATACAATGTCAAGGTGAAAGAAAAGAAATATTAAAAAAAAAAATGACATCAATTTGCATGGAGCAGGGGCCCCCATTCATTTCTTACTGTCTTGTTTTATAGAAAGTAAAAAAACATCACAGAATTAAAAAAATTGTGAAATTGTAAATTAAACATTTCAAAAAGTCAGTAAACAAACAGGAAAAAAATATGTACATACGGAAAAAAATGTTATGAAAGTTTTGTTTGACACTTCCTTTTTTCACTTGGATCGGTTTGGAGAATAACTTACTACCATTTGTTGTCACCATCTCGTATAAAAGAAATTGATATTTTAATAATAAGTGAAGTACAATTTACGACTACTGTTGTTGATAAATGAAACTTTATTTAATTGCAAAACAAGTCCTATCAACTTATATAAATCACTCTTGTTGGCCTGGATGGTGGTGCACCTTAATGTGGGAGGGAACCGGAGTGTTGGGAGAAAACCCATGTGGTCTACTTTATTGTGTTAACACTATTGTTGAAATTATCACAGTGACGTATGGAAGACCAAAGCATGTGTAAGGGAACACATGTCGCACTGTAGCGGGGAAATGATGTCCAATGTTTCCATGGAGATGGAGAGGGTGATGAGAGATGTGAGTTCCGCCGTTTGTGAACATCCGACTGTGAACCCCACCGACTGTACGATGGGGTTGGCCAAAGTTGCTCATAAGATCCTCGGCCTCGGGGTTGACCTGGAAGATTTGATGATGATGGGTGAGTAGCGTTAGACCAGCAGTATATTTTTTATCTGACCATGAACGTCAGTGTAATAAATCTCAGTCTGTAATTAATACTGTACATTGAGAAATTTTGCTGCATTTTTTTTTTTCGCCTTCTGGAATTAGAGCGAATTTATCATAATAACAAACACTAGTCAACAACATAATTTACATAGAAATTAAACGTGAAAGGATAAAATAGCACTGGGCGAATTTGGATTTGACGAACCAAAGGCAAAAGTTTGCCTGGTCGAAAATTTCTCGGTAAACTGTAAGATATACTTTAACCAGTTCCCCAAGTTGTCTTATTAGATGGGTTCGATAGTAAGTTTCAAGTTATAAAAGAAAAAAGTTATGGTAACGCAAATTATAGATTACGAAAAATTTGGAATAGTACAATGGTTAAATACTTAATGGTCACCTTTCCTTCTTGCAGGTATGGATGATGATAAAATAGATGAGGATGAGGATAAGGATTCTGATGACAAAGATGACAAGGATGATATGGATGATAAGGATGATGTCAGAACTACAGCAACTCCTAAAACAACTGCTACCAAAAATTCGACGGTAACCAATAAAAATGCCACCATGCCCGACATGGCCAATAAGTCCAGCATGTTAACTGGTAAACAGATCATGTTTTTGGAGAGGTTATTTAGCCTTGTAGCTGGTAGTAAGAGCGGAGAGGACTGTGAGAAGAACGACATGCATGATGATGACAGTATGGAGTCCATGTGTCAATCAGCTTCGATGGCGTGGCATTGTGTTGAGTCCCACCTGGACATGGTGCCCGAGGGAATGCGATCAGTGGCCAGGGCTTCACTAAACCTCATAGGAGAGGCTATCACAGCAAAATGTATAGGTAAGAAATTACAGCAACTTTATTAAAAGTGCGACAGAAATTTAAGGATCTTTTACCGCCTCAATGGAGGCACAGTTGTCTGGTTTTATTGATGGACTCTTTTCTCTTAGAAATTATTACACCGCTGTTTCAGCCAATCAAAAGCGTCATGACAAACGGCGACGTCATTTTTTTAACGTTATGGGCTGATAACATAAATTTTTAAGCAAATGAAAATGCTTGTTACAAGCAAGATTAAATTATTCAACAATAAGTTGAATGGTCTGTACTCAGTGCAAGTCTGTTGTTTGAAAAATATTTTTCTATACATGGACCTTTTAAAAACCTTATGACCAAGTACATATATTTGCATTGACCTTGTTCTCAAAGATAAAAAGTTGGTAAATAGTTATCAGATTAATTTTAATGAAGAAAATTCAAAGTTGTATTTATTCTCTTTACCAAAATGATCTGCAGTGCCCTCATGGATATTGTTTTTGAGGAAGTGTTTTTCATTTCATCATAACTGTTTAGAATATGCTTTTCAATCCCTTACCTAAACATGTCGAGTCACTTGTTTGGTTTTTTGTTACAGAGGAGACCCAGAAGGAGCCATTGATGTGTTTCAGCTGTAAAAATGCTCACTCTAACGAGGAGTGTAATGCCCAGCAACCCCAGACTTGCCACGGAGACCGACAGGTAACACTTATCAGTCATACCATAGAACAAATACAGTAGAAGCTTGGGACAAATTTTCTACTTGGAAGGTTTCACCAATCGATAGAGAGTGTATACACACTGTGTTGAATAGGTTGCTGGTAAGGTGTATATCCAGCTCCCTCTCTCGTTATGTCAGTATCGGGTCATACAGGTGACTCGGTTGGTGTCCCCCCTCATCTCTGTTCATGTAACAGTAACCTATTCGATACAGTGTGTATGCGCTCTCTATATCGATAGGCGAAATGTCCAAAGTCGAGTGACATGAGAAATATATAACTTGGTCACATCGTTGTACAGGTAAACAATACAAATCGCTCACTTAGTCATAGCTTTACAAAGGGTCCAGTCAGTCTTGGAATGTTGCGACACGTTTAATAGGTACATTGTTTGTGTAAAAAGTAAAACTTTGATATTACATGGATAGAAGAAAAGTTTTCTTTAGCTCAGTTATGGGAGGACAGGACTATAGCTAAGAACCTAATGGTCTATTGCTGGGAATAGAATATCTAGTCACAATAGCAAAGACTGAATTTTTGAAAAACTAGGCAAGTGATCGTGAAGATAACTAAAATATTGTTGGTTTCATTATTTACAAAACTAAGTGAAACTTTGAAGTTAAATTTGTAAGGCCCTCGTTGCATCTTCTCATAATTAATTGCCTGAAAATTAACTTTTTCACCTTGACAAGTGTTTGGTATTTGTGACAAATTTACGTAAAAATCCCTTAACCGCTAGTCCAGTTTGACCGGTGATCTCAGATGACTAACGATATAGTAAATGACTCGTTTCAGTCCTGTTACACTATTGTGGATAATGGACGCATCACTAAGGGATGTGCGTACCGTGTGCCCCTCCGAAAGACCTCGGAGTGTGTCAATTACGGCAAGAAGTGTGCCTACTTCTGTGACAAGTCCCAGTGTAACTGGCAGCAACACAGGGGAGTCATAGGTAAGTCACATAACATTGCAAGTAGTGTTCCAATAGGAAAGATCACTATAATTTCCTTCCTCATTAAGTTTTCGAGCAGTCATTTTGTCTTAATCTGCCAAAGTACTTGGTTCTGACATATATCGCATAACATAACGTGTACAATCCCTAGTGCAATCTGAAATTCTCCGCAAACCAACCTTTCAAGATTTACCGTAATATTTCTATTACAGATCCACCCACCTGTGACAGACGTGCCGCGACATTGTGCGGCATGACACTAGTCAGTAACATGCTTCATTCTGAACATCTGAATTGCGGGTAAGTAGTGCTGTAGTTGTGTTGTTCAGCCATCCAATTACACACGAGACCTTTTTCGAAATAATTCAACCTGTGTTAAGAGACCACCCTCATGTAGTTGGTCTCCTAATACAGGTTCAGTTCACAGTCCAATCACATCAATGAGGAGTGTTAAAAGTGGTCCCTTAGCACAGTTGGTCTTTTGATGGAGGTGGTCACTGGAGAAGACTGTAACCTATATATACACACACTAATTATAACAACTGTCTGTAATAATGTTATAAATTCTTTTAATAGTTCATATTTTGTAAAACAACATTAAAGATTGTGAGATGTAAGTCTTCATGAAACTGATTTCTTGCTCTTCTTCCTCCTTCTGGTTTCTGAAGGTAACTCCCTGCATATTCGTTTTGAAAACAAAATGTTAATGACTGGAGATTTTTCTTGGTATATTTTTTAATATTTATCCTGTTAATTCTTAAGTCAAACTATTTGGATCTTTGAATATTAAACGGCAATTTATAATTATTTCACTTCTTGTCAGGAGATATTATTTGGACACAAAAAAATGAAGTTGTACATATGATATTCCTATTAATTAAGCATTGATTTGTGCCCTTTTTTCCCCTAGCGTTGCTATGAAAGCCCTTGGCTGTGTCCAACACTTCACCAAAGACTGCATGTCTCACAAAGAAGCTATGATGAGCAAACACGCCGAGGCCGCTCTACATAGTCCTGCAATGATGCAGTGTTACGCCAAGGACATACCCTGTACCTGTGGTTACTGTAGCGTCCTGTCACTGGCTCGTGTCCAGCATAACACATACCTGACCAGGGTCGAGAAGTGCATGTGAGTGATAACAACAGCGAAACGAGTGTCTTTTTAATGTAATCAAGGCCCTCTATATGTATAGTTTACAGTTCATTTTGAGACCCGATTCCTGTAAAACATACCCTGTAGAAATGTTCACAAGGAACTTGACAATGTGAATTTTAAACTGAACAAATTACAAGAATATAAAGTTACAGTATATACATTTATTACACAACACATGACATAACATGATTATATGACAAATAATTAAAAACATATACATTCATATAACAAACTACATAACTATGTTTGGCGAAAGGGGCAACTCAGTTACTACAAAATAAACTAAATATCCTTCTCCTGGATTTGTCGTCAGAAGAAGGATAGCATGTAGTGTCCAGTTAAATATCCTCATCTTAAAACTCTAGCGGACCGTCAACAATGCAGTGTTGGAACAGTACTTGGCTAGAGCTACTGATGAGTATGACAGAAGAGGATAATAACTGGACATCATGTATATTGTAATGAGCTATACCCCATCACGGTGTAGCTTGCTGAGCTACCAGGTCCGGATGAGGAATAGGTGTCAGTATGGTTATACAGATATATAGATAGATGATCATCCCGTATTACACTATTCCTCATCTCGGTGCAGCTTG